GCTGCCTGTTTGGCCCAACCCTTAGTTCTTTGGCACTGTACCAAAGTATTGTCTCTGCCCGTTAGTCAATCTCTCTTGGAATACCAGGAAAAATAGCTGTTCATAACAATTATGTCCCTTTTTGTTAAAATTGTACAATCATCAATAACAATTGGAACAATCATAGCCTAGGAAATGACAAATGGAGGTAACCATTAATTTGCCATCTTTAACTGGATAAATTAGATTTGTGGTTATGTAACAAAATGTAAAACAGACCAAAAAATTATATGCAGTATATAAGTCCTTAATATGTGAGGGATTACAGTTTATAGGGTGTTAGTTAAAAAATAGGTGGATGAAGAGGAAGAGATTAGAAATAATACTAGAAGACAAAGGGGAATCAGGCTGACTTGGGAAAACTGGTGCAGAAGACTGGAAGGAAAGAGAGAGGTAAGAAAGAAAAATGAAAATCAGAGCAGAACAACAACCACAAAGAGGCTAGAAACCATGTTCATATAACAACAAGATCAAACAATAAAGGGGGAAAAACCCCACAAGAACAACAACAAAAAACAAGAGAGAGACTATTAAAAAGTCTACTTCCAGGTTTGTCTTTGCTGTCACTCATAAACAGTGTGTGGAGACAGAGTCCAGGTCCATGCTGATGTATGCCAGCTTGCCAGCAGTAGCTTTTTGGTGGGGTACTGGGTAATCTCAGTGAGCCTGCATTTTCTGGCTAAGAGCAGGCTGGCTTGGCATGCAGCCATCCACACACCTTCTGCAAGTTTGAGCCCAGCTGGGAACCGGTCTGAGTTCTGAGCTCAGCAGACCCCTCTTCAGGATGTCTCCTAGCCAGTCACTGCCTCTTGCAGGAGGACTGAACCCTGAGCACTCATTGCGAGTTAGTGCAGTCCTTTGTGTCTGCTTCTCCCCTGCACTGCTGCACATCTCTGTGGAGGCCTCTGGGCTTGTGAGCTGTCACTGTGTGACTGCTGGTTGAACTGCTGTTCTTGCATAGCAAATTCCTTCTCAGGGAGTAGGTGCACCTGGTTACCTCCTTCTTGTGCACCTGGTTACCTCCTTCTTGTGCACCTGGTTACCTCCTTCTTGTTCGCGGTTCGTCTTTTCACTCTTCCACTCGTGCTTCAGATTCTCCTGAATCTGAACTGGGTTCCAGGGACCCAGTTCCCTCCTTCTTGTCTTCCTCATGTTGCTGTAGTCTGGACGGCTACTCTTAGAGACGCTCTTTCACTGCTGCTTACTGCTTCTCCATCTTGGAGCCTCATCTGTTTTGTATTTTTAAAGAATTTAAAAATTTATGACTTTTATGAAACAAATCTAATGCCAAATTCAAAAAGAAAGCAACCAAAACAACATAGTTTTTTAATGGATTTCACTGCACTTTTTTTTTTTTTACAAAGTGATTAACCTAGAACTTAGAAAGTTATGAAGAGTATAATTTTAATGTCTAATTCATTATAAAAATGATTCTAACATTAAAAGAATTAGCATATTTCTTGAAAATGTGATAGTGTACCTTTTAACCCTATAGTTAAAAATCTAAGAGATTAAAAATCTTTAGTAGAATTACTAAGAATACGTTAGAAAGGACACATATAAGAAGATATGAAAATTAGTAGATTATCTAGGTCTTCAGTAATGCTAGAAAATGGGGAAGATACCTTTTTCAGAATAGTGATACAAATCTATATGATACTTATAAATTAACTAAAATTAAAAATTTCATATAGGAATATAAAGGAAAAGGTTTCATATAGGAATATAAAGGAAAAGTAGTTTTTTGGGAACTGCTGTAATAAATTATCAGAAATTATGTGGTTAAAAACAACAAGGAAATATGTTCCCTTACAGTTATGGAGGCTAGAGGTCTGCCATCCAAATGTGACTGGGGCCACACTCCTCTGAATCCCGTAGAGGCATCTTTCGTGCTCTGTCTCTAGTTTCCTGGGGCTGCTGCAGTTCTTGGCAGCTCTTGGCTTGCAGCTGCATTAACTCCAGTCTGCCTTGATGTCATCAAATAGTGCTCTTTGTCTGCTGCGTCTTCACTTGGCATGAGATTTCGTGAGAGAAAAATTCATACTGTATTAGCAGCCCACCCCAGTATGACATTTCCATAATTACATCTGTGTGACCTTATTTCCAAATAATATCATATTCTGAGATATTGTGAGTTGGGCTTCAATTTGTCTGCTTTGTTTTTGCAGTACTTGTAATCAAATCGAGGACTTTGTCCTGACTGAGCTGTACCCTATTCCTTTTTTAGACAGGGTCTCGAGCTTGAACTCCCTCCCAGAGTGCTGGGATTACAGCCAAGCACCACCACACCCAGCTTCAGCCTGTCTTTAATGGGGTGAAAAATTGAATTCTAGCAGTATTAAACAACATAAAATAAGACCTGAACTACTAAATATACTATGTTCTTTGCTATTTCAGTTTTCTGAAGGTAGCTTATAAATGTAATAGTTCTAAGCATAAATTTTGCTAGAGTTAATGTGTGTATTGAGGTATAGGGGCTGGTATCATTGTGCATTAGATAAACTGTTTTAAAGCTTATAGAGAAAAATAAATGCCAGACTCAACAATATGGATTGTAAAAATGCTCAGGATTGTGAGTTTGGGTAACATGAGTATACAGTTATTGCGGCATCCAGCTGCTCACTGCTGTTTTTCTACTTTACTGTATATAAATTGTATATTTATTTTTAAAAAGGATATAATAAATGCCATAAGCTAACAAAATGATAATTAGAAGCTTTGCCTACTCTGTGTTGGCATCGTATTTTTGGATAATGAGGTATTTAAAATTGCCAATGTGTAATAGTGCTGGCAAAACGATAGACAAAATGGAAAACAGACTACTGAGTCCATAAATCTATCTGAATATATGGTACTTTTATCACTTTGATGCAGTTTAAATTATCTTATCACTTGGTTTAAGAGTAGCTTATTTTATTTTAAGATAGTTATCTTATTTTTCTGGGGAATTTAGTATTTACTGGAAAGTAAATAAATTTGTGCTCCCTATCTGATAACATGTTTAAAAAGAAATTATAAGTGAGTTCAGGATTTAAATGATAAAATAAACTTGTAGAAAAAAATTGAGAAGAACATTTGTATAATCCACTAATTGGGAATAACTTTTCGAAGAAGATGGTGAAACCCAACTATAAACAAGATAAATATTCTTGACTGTAAGATCATTAAATGTTTATTTCCTGCATACAAAAGATATTATAAACAATAAAAATCATACTGTGAGCTGGGAAAAAATATTTGCAACATAAGGCAAATTAGAGAGTTTGAATCCAAACTATACAGAACTCTAACAATTGGTATTCAAAAATAAAAAAATGGGGCAGGTAAAATGAACAGACCCTTTACAGAAGAAGTACAGATAGCTCAACATCGCTGGCTATTAGAGAAATACAAATTAAAGCAACACTGAGATCTTACCCCAGAAAGAATGGCCATCATCAAGAGATCAAATGATAACAAACACTGGAGAGGCTTCATGGTAAAAGGAATCTTGTACATAATTGTTGAGAATTGTCTTTGTTACTTTTCTCGTGTTGTTGAGTCAAAATACCTGATGCCCAAAATGAAGGAAGGAAAGGCTTATGTATCCTACAGTTTTTGGAGGTTTCAGTCCGTATACTCAGCTGGCTCCAAGGCAGGATGGTGTGGCTAAGGAGCACTGTGCTTGGTGTGGCAGCAAGTGACAAGAGCGAAAGGGCAAAAGGGGAAAACAGGCCTCCTCCCCTCCCTTATATTATATGCCTGCTCCCTGGCAGCACTCACACCTTCCAATCCCAGCATGAGACAGCGGACCAGTCACAAGCACTAGACTCAGCTGCTTCCATGACTACATGAGACTTTGAGGGGACACTTAAGCCATAATAAGAATGTAAACTAGTATAGCCTGTGTGGATATTAGTGTGAAATTCTCCCCAAAAGTTAAAACTAGAAATTCCATTTGACTCAGCTGTACTACTATCTTCTGGAGAAAGTTAAAAGATATTATATTACAGAGGTACATGTGTACTCATATTTATAGCAGCATAGTTCATGAGAGCTAAATCTTAGAAGTGGCCTATATGTTCATCAGTAAATGAACAGATAGTGAAGTTGTATTTATACACTGGGAATACTGCTCTGTCACAAAGAAAGATAAACTTGAGCCATTTATAGGAAAATGGATGCATCATTAGACCTTAATGTTAAGTGAAATAAACCAGACAGACAAGCTTAAATACCATCATTTCCCTTGTATGAAAAACCGAGAGTAAAAATAAAAGAGTAAAATAAAAGATAGATTATAGAAAGTAGGAAGATAGATCCTTTTCAAAGAGGGAGGGGATCAAGAAATGTAGGGAGGGGGAATAAAGGGGGCAGATAAAAGATGAAAAAAAGTAATTGGGATATACTATGTATGTGTGTCCACTCCATACAAGAAATGTAAGTATTATGTCCTATACACGTGTACTAATAAAGCCAACTAAAAAAGTCATAAAAACTAGGAGAAAAACAAATGCAAGCAAAAAGATAGGAAATAGGAAGTTACCAGAAGAGGAAATCCAAGTGGCTAATCAGTATTTGAAAATATTCTGATTCTCAGTAGCAGTAAATGATAAACGTGTGATTGAAACTTAGTGTTGGAAATAGGTAATCTAATGCTTGCTCCAAAGGTTTTTATATAAACATACAGAATGTCTTTAAGATATTCACTATACTCAAAATGTTTTATAATATGCAGACTGCAAAAAGGTTAAAAATCCAATTTTCTTTTTTTCCCTTTGTAGCTTTTTTTAAAAGTAGACAATTCAAAAAGATAAATAAGTGACTCAGTTTCTTTGCAGTAAGATAGTGGATAAAATAATTTTTAAATTCATGTAAAATACATGAAGTATTTTCCCATTGTTTATAAGATTTAATTAATACTTTCCTCTTTAAGTGATATAGTTTATATGTTGCTTAATATTCTCTTGTAACTTTTGAAGGTTCTTGCATTGGTTTTTGTTCGCAAGCTTATGGACCTGTGTTTCACAAAGAGAGAACTCAGTTGGCTTGATGATCTCATGCCAGAAAGTAAGAAAAAGAAAGAAGATGATAAAAAGAAAAAAGAGAAAGAGGTAAAAAGATAAGAATTTTAGATTTTTTTTACCATTCCATTTAATATTTTGTACCATTTAATGTATCATATATCACAAACTATTATGATCACTTTATTGAATGAGTTCCTTTAAATCTCGTAAGAAATTTAATAAGGTATAGTTACTGTTTTTCTCTTCATTTTACAAATAAGGAAACTGAGGAAGGCACTATTAGTTAACTGGTCTTAAATGCCACCTCTTTCCCATTTCACAGTCTCGCCCCACTATACTTCTGACACAGTATTTTTGGAAAGTTACATATTGTGTGTTCTTAACAGTAGAAGAATCAGAAAATTTAGTAGTTTTAAAACATAGATAACAGAATAATTGTGTCATTTAGGTTAATTGTAAGTATATTACATTAACTTTAGCATACATTTTAATCTAGTATATATACCAGTAAAAGAAGTTTTAAGTATGTATTTGTTTTTTAAAAAATACATAGTAAAGCTAAAGCTCTGGTTCCCCCCCCCCCCAATTTGAGATGAGGTTTTGCTGTTATCTAGACTGGTCTGGGCTCAGGAACCCTCCCAGTCTAGCTTCCCAAGAAGCTGGGACCACAAGCATTTGTCACCAGTTCCAGCGAAAGCATGGTCTTTGTGTGTATTGTTAAGTACTACCGGTAGTTGAATTGCAGACTTAGATAAATACATGAATATTTCATTCTGAATTTATTTTTTATTCTTAATAAATACAGTGCTCCCACTTAAAGAAAAGTACAGACTATGCAGCATTAAGTGATTGTGTTGATCATAGCTGTACTTAATTTTCTCATACACAATGTTGTTTGATAATCAGAGATAAGAAAAATACACATTTTTAGAAGTATAAAAATTACTAATTTTGTTTATTTTTTGGCAAAAATTTAGGGCTATTTATTTGAATGTGGCTCCACATATTTTCATTAAAGTTAATATGTAAATCCATATTAGCATTTGTTAATATCTTCCCAATAGAGTACAATTTATTTATAATACACTTAGGTAGATTTCCTGCTTACCACTTGTATCCGTTAAAGTTTAGTGACATATTATACAAAGCGAAAGTAAAAGTGACTTTTCAACACATGGATTTATTCTTCTGTGAAAAGAATTCTCAAAAGCAAGTGGCCTGGCTTTGCATCTCTGCAGGTTTGTCAGGGACCCGTTATTGCATTCCTTGTGCTCGCAGCGTGTAGGATGTGGTTTCTTCCATTCTCCAGTTCACCTCCCAGGTCAAAATGGCTGTTGATAATCTGGCTATCAAGTTAGTTTTCGAGAGGCAGAAGGCAAAAGGAGCTTTGTTTCACTGTCACGTTTTCAGAAGTATTTCAAAAAATACCTTCTTATAAGTTCTGTCTCTACATGTGTTCCTGATTTGCAAGAAATGCTGGGACATTTATGTAACTTAATGGTTTCCTTGTTTTATGTTAAAAATGAGGCCACACTGCCACCTGCAAATAGTGGGGCTTGTATTAGGAGAATATGAAATCTCTGTCTCATTGGTACTGCCTCCTCCCCATCCCCATTGTTAACGCCAACCTTTGAGTCTGTTGCCTGTTTGGTTCTCAACTTCCAGGGGGCATCTCATCTAAGATGAGACACCAGTGAATGTCACAACTGTACAAGTCGTATTGGTATTCAATGGGTAGACACCAGGAAGCTGTGAAATGTCATGTACATAGGGCTTCTTCCTACAGCAATGGATTATTAGTCTAAATGTTACTATTGTTGGCGTTGAAAATCTGCCTTATACAAATGAGGTTTTAGGCAGATTGTATTGTAATGAAAACCATGAGATTTCATGAAATTTTTTCTCATTATATACCTATGTAATAACTGATAGTCAAATTTATATAAATTGATTTCAAATAGTATTGATTCAGCTTTAGAAATGTTACACTATTTAATATTAATTTCTACAAGTGATCTTCAATTTATGCTATGCATTCATAATTATAAAATGAAATTTTCAGTTATGTCAGATGTCTGTTACATTTAAGTAAGATCAGTTTGAGTTTCTAAGTCTTTAAGGTGTTCTCGTACCTGTCCTCTTGGAACTATTCTGGAAAAATAATCTCTGCCTCTATGTGTGTTGTACAGGAAGCTGAACGAATGCTTCAAGAGGATGATGATACTGTGCACCTTCCATTTGAAGGGGGGAGTCTCTTGCAGATTCCAGTTAAGGCCCTCAAATATAGGTGAGGTATAACTATTTCCTAAAAACAATTTCAAACCCATGTCAAGTCATGTAATAGTTTAAAGCAGTGGTTTCTGTTTTTTAAACATGGTAAAAGTCTGGTTGGCATATGAGCTTAAGGGGAGCTTCACACAGTTGGAAAATCAAGTCTGCTCGTCCTTATCTGCCCAGCCTAGCAAGTATGAAGAAAAGCTGGAGCTGGCTGACAGCCTTAAACTCACTGCTATGCCAAACCAACAAGATTTAGGTGTCAAAACCGGTGTACAAATTTTAGAATAGCTCAATCCATTTTTCTAGTCAGAATAGTACTACTTTTTCTTTTCTGTCTTCTGGAGTACTAAGATCAGTATGTGCTGGAAAATAAATATCTATAGACCATTTTCTGGTAACCTCCTGATGTGTACCTGTGCAGGGCCTCTGTAGCTCTCCTAGTTCCAGAGGTGTAATTCATTATTGACAAGGCACCTATTATGGAAAATGATGAATGGTTTTCATTTATGGTTTGCATACATTTTGGTGTTAAAGAGTTTGGAAAATACATTTTTATGGTTTAAAAGATTAAACAACTGTATTATTTGTATATATTTTGGTTTGTATTTCTATAACATTTCCATTTCTGATTAGCTACTTAAGAGTTCAGAATTCATTTGCACAATGGATACAACTTCCCTCTCTGACTAGTTAGAAAATGTTTATTGATACAGTGTTTAACTAACTTGCTTCAACCATTTTTCATCCTTATTTTGTGGAGTTTTTATAGTCATATTTGGTCTTGTTACATGTTGGTTAGCTATGATAAATGAATTAATCAAGTAATTGTCTTTCTGTACTTTGTGCTGTTAGTTTCTACCACTGGTTTTATTCTGTGTTAAGTTAATGATTTTCCCTGGAATCTTCCTACACTTTACAAACTAAAAAAATGGTTCCTAAAAGTATTAGACATTCATACACTTTAAATTCAGTGCCAAGTGTAGCAATTTTAATTTATCCAGTTATGATAGACAGCTTTGCAAGGTTTTATAAATGTGTGTTATCTGAATTTTATTAGTTGTACCTATAAAAAGAGTGTAGAAATTGCCACAATGGTGATTAGTACCTGGCAGTTTAAGGTTACTTGTCACTTGGTTTCTGTCCTGTTGTATCATTCTTTCAGTGTAACTACAAAGGAACTTCACATTTAAATGGAATTTATATTGTCAGATGTATAACAGAATGCTATCTGTATTTTTCCTTTTGTTTCCTTTTTTAAATGATATAATTCATTGTTAATGTTGATTTTTCTTAAAGTTACAGCATCAAGAATGCTGAAAAATGGCTAACCTATTTTTTTTGCCACAACATACTTTCTTAAATAGCTTTGGGTTATTTGCTATGAAGATCATATGAGATATTGTATAAAAGCATTTGGAAAATATAAAGCTCTGAAATATGAAAACAATTTATATAGTGTAGGCAAACTCTTCTAGTTTCCTTTTGAGATAAAATGTATAGAATATTCAAAAACTGTTAATTTCTGAAAATAGGAAGATACTTAGAGAAGGGTAGAAACTAGAAACTTCACTCAGGATCCTTCTCTCCACTTTTTGAAGTTGACAGCCGAGTGAATAAATGTTTACTTAAGGTAGAGGTTGCAAGCTGCATGACTCTGCCATTGTAAACTTTGGTCCTGAGACTTCTTTGTGACCCTGTCACACTTCTCTATAATCTTAAATTGTAAGCAGCACTCTGACTTAAATTATCAACAAAGCTAGTATTGCTGTTTAGTCATTCATAATCTAGCCACTGTCATGTTGTTAATTAAATTAACATGATCTAATTTGACATTGTATATGTAGCTTATTTGCATGAAATATTTTTCTTTTACTGAAGAAAAAATGGCTTGAAGATAGTTCTGTTAACCTTATGATACTTCCATATACTTGTGACTCATAACCTTGAGGTTTAAATTATTTATGGATATCATTATTATTGGATTTGGGGTCTTTAATTCATTTTTGCAGTAATTCACACACTTAGAATTGTTACATTTATCCCTTGTAATGGGCAGTATCACTTTTTTTTTTTTTTTTGGCAGTATCACTTTGATTTTGATAATTGATAATATAACACATTGATGCTAAAAACATGAATGGCAGCCAAAATGAAACTTACAAAGCTTTCCTAGTGTTATCTTTTTAAATATTTTCAGAACTTTGTTCTCAGTTGCACAGTGTTAATGCTCTTTTTTGAATGATTTATAAAGACTGTGAGCCAGGGGTTGAGCTCAGCGGTGTAAGCGCCTGCCTGGCAAGCACGAAGTCGTAAATTCTATCTCTGGACTATGAAAAACAAAGGATTTTGTTCTATTTTGTTTGTTTTTTCTTTCTTTTGCAATGTTACCAACCTGGCCTCGAATGTACTGCCCTGCCTCAGCCTTGTAAGCAGTTAGGATTACAGAGTGTTTTGGTTTTTATTTTGTTTTTATCATAATTTTTCTTGCATACTGTGGATATTCATTTAAGGAGACTGAAATTTGTGCCACTTATGAAAATTTTCTAATTGATACTGTTTTATGAACATTAATAAATCTTTTATATTACTTCAATGTAATAAAACAGCCAACATGACCAGAGGGCATCATTACTAAATACTGTTAAAGTACTACTGAAACCCCAAATCAAGTGCTAATGCAAAATTCCATAAATAAGTCTTGCTACTTTTTTTTTTCCTGTTTGTTTGAGACAGGATTTTGCTATGTAGTCCAGGCTGGATTTGAACTCACTACGGAGCCCAGGCTGACCTCGTCCTCAGCCTCACAAGGGCTGGGATTATTGGCATGTGCTACTATGCCTAGCCAAATCTTGTTAATTTAATTTTATGCTTAGTTTTAATTATAAATGAAGATGCGATTCTTTTCACAAGGCCTTTTCAGATGAACTCCAGGATTTTGATACCTTGCTGGACCTTGATTTAAGTGCATGACAAGGGATTTCTCAGTTTTATGTAGATGAAAGCAAATAATCATACAGATATAAAAATGACAATATTAATGCTTTGCAAGTACTGAATACTAACCATCAAGTGTATTTGTTCCTCAGTGTTGATCCCTCAGTGGTTAATATATCAGATGAAATGGCCAAAACTGCACAGTGGAAGGCACTTTCCATGAATACTGAGAATGCCAAAGTAACCAGATCTAACATGAGGTAGTAATAACTGTTTATGCATTTTCTACCTGGTGCCAGTTTACTTACAGAGATCTATGCAGTAAAGTCATCACACTTACCCAATTCATTCATATTTTCCTTACTTAACAAAACCAACTTTCCTGCCATTCTCCCTTGCTCTCCTTCCTTTTGTCTATCCCAGCAGTGATCTGTTGTGCAGTTTTTAAATTTACGTAGTTGCGTATTTCAGAAAAGAATTTAAGGTACTTTTATTAGAGATAAAATTTCATACAGCAGCATAAAATAGATACATAAAAGTTTTAAAAACATGGAAGATAATTGCTAGGGACTAAATAAATATTTTAAATGAACACTGTCTTACTCATGCATTTTGCTGGTTCAAGAAAAGCAAAGAACTAGTTGTGTTTCTTCTTATGTTTTGATTTGTTTTATTTGGCTTGACTTGGCTTAACCTGGCTTAGCTTGGCTTTCATGTATCACCTCTTTGGGGAAGGTAAATGTTTTTCCTGAGGATGTTTGGAAGAAATTAAACACATTAATATAAAGACTTTTATAATATACCAAGTGTTAAAACTTATAACTCTTTCCTTACATTTCTTGTTATGTAGTACTTCTTTTTTTCTTTGCCTTTACTGTATGGCTGAAACCTTGGAATTCTATTTTGACGATCTTTAGAACTGTACTACTTAGATTTCTGAAGAATGAAATTCCAAGACACTGTGTCATTCGTATTCAATTAATGTCTTAGGTTTACCTTATGTCAAGTGCTATGTTGAGTATAGTAATACTTTGCTTGACTTCAGATCAGGACCTTCCAGTGTAGGTAGTCATACAGCTAAACTGTTAATTACTGTCTTTATGAACTCTGTGTGGTGATAGTAATTAATTAGCTTTTACCTATAGGGTTTTTTTCTGCTTCTTCCCTATCAGCAATATATGTTACTTTTGAAAACAGTTGCATATTTCAGAAAAGAATTTAATTGCGTCTGTCATTGTTTCTTGTGTTAAATAGAGATTCTCAAGGTAGTATCCCATTTAAATTTGTGTTTTACTCTGTAAACTTTTGTTTGCTGTATGGAGACAGGGTTATACTAAGTTGCCCCCCACTGGGTTCAAACTTAAAATGCACCTACCTCGGCCTCCTGAGTACTAGGATTACCAGTGTGTAGTACTTTGTAAAGATTTGAAGTTAAATATTGTCATTTTGGATCACAGTGCCAGAATGTCACTGATCTCTTTACTGTTAGTTTCTGTTTTCACACTCTTGGCCAAGGCACTATACAGTTTACAATAAATATACAGGCCTTCTAGCAGTACCAACATATCTCTTACACTTCCACCGTTCTTTGAGTTGCCCTTCTAACTTCAAATCACATGAAAATAAAGAGAATGTCTCTGCAATGTTGTTTTGATAGAAAACCTTTGGGAGATCTTTCATCTAATTTGTGAAAGGTAGCAAACAATAGTATATTTCTCTGAAAATGTGTTTTCAAAATCCAGCTGTTGTCTGACAAATCAGTCAACTAGTTAAATTCATATAGAAGGGAGTCATTGGTATATTACCTTAAAAACGTAAAATAAGTGTGCTGATCTTGTACTTGTGAGCCAAATTTAGAAATAGAAGCTTTGCCAATTTGTTACTTTTTTAAGGAAATTACTTGATGCTTATCTACATTAACAAAGATTTGTGTTAGTGGATTTTTCAGTGAAATAAAAGTCCAGTTCTACAACTCTTATTTATGAGTGAAGTAAAACTAATAAACATTGTGTATTAGTAGACTTATTTGAAAGAACTCCTTCAATTATTTAAAAACATAAACTTCAATTGAAAACATAATTTTTAAGAAACTAAGAATTTTTAATATGTGGCTTAAGTTTATTGATACTAAAAATAAGCAGTAAAATTAAAGTAGCAAGTTTTAAGTTAATAGTGTTACTGAATACTCATCTTGAAATGTTTAACATAGATACTCATTGTTAGCTGGTTTGGAATCCACTATTTGTTCTTCTAAATTTTTTTCTCATTGTTTGTTTTAAATAGCCCCGAAAAACCTGTCAGTGTGACAGTAAATTTTGAAGATGAACCATCGAAGAAATACATGGATGCGGAAACTTCATTATAGAATTGAACCAACCGGAATTATATATAGATACAGATGTATATCAATAATGTGTGTGTGTCATATCACTATACCAATATTGTATGTCATGCTGTATATGTATGACTACTGCGTTTTTTAAAATAATACCTGAAGTTTGTTAAAAGCACCATGGAGACTGTGTATATTAATGAAATAGTCTCTTAGAAATGAGGTACATGGTTGTTATTATTAAAATATTTATTCTGTTGGAAAAAAGCTTTTCTATTCTGAAGTAGAAGAAAGATGTGGAGAAATGCACAGTAGACATTTCTTGGGGATCTGTGTTCATCAGTGTCAGTTTATACCAGCCTTAAGTGGTACATAGTTAGGTTATATAATTATCATTTTTACTTGAGTGTCTAAACATGTTCACATTATTTCACCTTTGTTAACCTAGTACTTTAGAGGAAGAACAGAGTCTTCGTATCAGTGCTGTGATATAAGTACCGCGCTCTGGCTTCTCTGTGTGTGTGCTCTCTTGTGGCTGTCCTCCGCGTCGCACTGTGATGGCATTTTTTTGCCCGTAGAGGTGATTGGACAACAGTGGAAACTTTTAATTTAGTAACTGTGGTTTTTAAGTTTTAGTTTTAGGAATTTTTGTTTTTAATCTTGAAGCTTCCATATCTAGATTTCTATTCTAAAAGCCGAGTAAATTCCAGGTATTTATAACTTAGCACCCACACCAGTTATGACTTTTAGGAATTTAGAAGCTATAAAATGCCAGTTTGCAATAAATTTTGTTACCTTTGTAGAAATTATTTTCTCAATTTATACTCTTAACAATTCATAAATCCTCCTCTATTTTTTGCTGTTGCTCTCTGAAAGTTAAGTAGTTTGTATCAGGGTCAAGTTATTGAGTAGATTACCATAAATAGTACGATCAAGTAATCAGGAGTCAGAATTCTCTCATGGGTTTATGATCAGTGTTACTTTATTAAGAATTATCTTTCATTTTCTTACTGTTATTATTATTGTATAGATAATATTTGATAGGCTGTGCCCCACAATTTCATTTTAAAATATTTTACTTATTTTAATTGTTATACTGAATTATTATATATATTTGAAAAATAGGTTGTATAAACTGTTAATGTAAATAATTGGTGCTCACTTGCGTTTATGTTTATCTGAAAAAAATTGACAGATTTTTCATCTTTGATATAAAGCACTGCCATTGTTTGTCTTTTAAAGAAAATTAGACTTTTGTATGGCTCAGATTGATGATATTTTTCCTATTTTGTGTTAGTATTTTTAATTTAGTTTTTCTGAGCTGCTCTTTTAACTTCTAGCAAGTCATTTTAGTCATCTTTTATATACTCATAACTTCATACAGAATAAATAAATGTTATTGTTAAGTTTGTAGGATTGGATGAATGGGGTTGAGAAACTAATTTGGCAAGAGACTAATTTACAAAATTCAAGTGAATATTGAGAAGCTACAGAAATAGTGGAGATGGTAACATGAATATTAGGGGAAAAATTTATTGAAATTTCAGGGTTCCCTTTCGTCATTTATAATTAAAGTACAGAAATACAAAGAACTGATCTTGAGATCATAAGAAATGCCAAAAGCAGATATTTTAGCAATTCTAGAGTATTTTCAATCCATTCTAAACTATGTAATAGTTAATACAATTTCCTTTTCTGTAGATTCTAATACAATAATGAATTCAACTTCTGCCTCAGCAGAGATGTTGGAGATAGCTACTTTTCTTTAGAACATATAGTTGGCATTATTTGGTACTGCCTGAAAAAGAGTTTTAGACTCTTGGCAATGGATGGAGAGTATTACCCATGGTGCTTACTATCATTTATGTGCTTCCATTTAAGTGATTAATTTTTATTCAGAGCAGCACAGTCAGTTCCAAAGTCCCCAGTATCTGCTGCTATTTTTTAAAATTCCCCTGATGTACCTGAACAAGAAAATTTCCTCCTCATTTCCTTGTGTTTGGACATCAAAGGGTTAACAAATGCACTTATTTTACAGGAAGTGATTTTAAAATTTAAACTGAAAACTACCTGGGATCATAGTGTTTCTCTGATATTATATAATTATGTATAGTGATTATCCAATGCTAGAAAAAATATAACTTGCAAGATACTTAGCATTCAAAATGTTCTACTGTTTCCAGTTATTAATGACTCTTGCTTTCTTTTGACTACTTGATTTACAAAATGATCTGATATGACTACTCCATTGAAGAGCAAAGGTAACTCATGTTTAAGTAATTAACTGCTTGTGTTAAGTGAATCATGGATAGCATTCATTGCAAGACAGTGGAAGATACAGTTTACTGTATATTGATTTTGAAGTGTTGCCTTAAATAGGTGTATATGAGCAGTAGTAGTTGCTATGTACTGATTTACCTCAAGGTGCAAAATAATTAAACCTGTGCATATTCATTTACAAAATAAATTCAGACAAACAGCCCTGCACTTTCTTAGATGCCTTGATTTTCAGAATGGAGCTTAGTGCTACTGAATACCCTGGCCACAGAGCCATCTCAGGATATTCTTTTCTCACCCTATTTTATTTATTTATAGATGCCTGTTTACAAAGACTATCATAAATCTGATGTTCACCATCTGAAATTTACTTTCAGTTGCTGTTTCAATCTAAAATAGCAGCTTTTGATACAGTGAGCTGAGTTCCTTACAATAAAAGGATGACTATATGTTTTTAATGTTAGATATGCTGATACACACAACTTTCTAAAGCATGTTTGAGTGTGTGTGTGTGTGTGTGTGTGTTAGCTTCCAAACTTAACATTGTTTAAAGCTGTGGCATACCTATGTTCATACTTGCCAAGTGTTTTATAAAATGTGTTGGATAAAACTTTTATGTGCTACTGCATGTATTTATAAAGGTGATTTGTTTACTCAAAATTAATAACTTTGGTTTTCTTCATCCAAAACATTTCTGTTTTCCACAAACTCAAAGTTTCTGTGTGAGTATACTAGTTGACATTTTCCTTTCACAAAGGTGGGTTCAAAATTGTTTTAAAAAAAAACCAAAACCAAAAAACAAAACAAAAAAAACCTCTTCTCCGAAACTGAGTATAATACCAGAGCTCGCTACTTAGAGAATTTTATCCTGTATATCAGTTCTGTAAATGTGCTTGACAGTTTTAACAATTTAACATGCGAAACATCCTGTTACAAAGTGCTCAGATTTTGAATATATAAGCCATCAATATAACATTACAATTCAAGCTGTTTAAGTAACAATGTTTTAAATTTATTTATGTAGATTAACATCATTGTTCTAGTACAAATATGTGAAATGTCTTTTCTCTTATTGCAACAATTATTTATTTTTAGGAAGTAAATTTAAAGACTTAAAGACACTCAAGTTTTAAAATAACATTCAAATTTCAAAATTTGGCAGTCATAATGTAGTCTTTAACTTTTCAGAAAGTAAAATAAATGTCAGTTACAGAAAAACAGTTTAAAAAGGAATCACCTAAAGATTTTTTTAAAAATTTAATTACCAAATACTTAGAGTAATTGTTAAGCCCTACTTTTGTTGCTAATCATTTTTTTGCACATTGATTGGTTTTGTGCTGTGGCTTTTCTTAACGTTGCTTTATTCAAGGTTTTTTTTTTTTTTTTGTGGGGAGGGTCTTTCAATGTTTACTATGTTTAAATAAATAACAATTTATTGTTCATTCATGTAATATTTGATACCTTGGTGTAGTTTCACAGTATAGAGTTTTTATGACTTTTATAATTACAGTGATATTTGGTTTTGTAATAAACTCCAAAGTAAATTAAACATTAAATTGTAGAACTGATATTTTTCATTTATATGAAGTACAAGTCACTAAGTCTATAATGTGAACCATCCTGCCTTTCATATTTGTTTCATAATTGTGAGAAGAAAACTATTTTTTGTAGATATTATTGAAGTTGAAAGAGCAATAAAAGTCTACTTAATTAATTGTTGGCTGTTGTCTTTGTAATTTATTGGAAGCCTATGTTTTTCTCAGTTTGAGAAAGAGATAGACTAGAAAAGGAGAAGTTGGTATGTCATGCCTCCTAATATTCATGTGCTGTTGAAGAAGAGATAAAGGTAAAACAGAACAGTATGTTCTACTGGCATTTTCATAATTAACAAATAATGAGAATATTGTTGGTTAATATTGGCCTGACCTCTTCAGCCCTTTCCATTTTCTCTTACTTTAAAACTTTTTCCTGTTTGAAAGTTGAAAATAAAGTCCTTCTTTAAAAGCTGGTTTATTATTTCCCTATTTTAAGACTATTTTGCTGTGTAATATGTAATGATTTGAGTATTATTGATATTACAGGCAGGCTCTGCTCGTTTTCCTTTTGTTGCTAATTTTATTACCAATTTTTTCCTTAATAACCTTATTTGTTTTCTGTATATATAGTTCTTCGTGTGTTTTTTGGCACTGAGAAACTTGTGGTATGTCTAGGGATTTGAACTGTGTAATGGATACAGTTCGAATGAATGAAATGTACATTCAATTTAGGATGATAGACCAGTTAGAAAACAAAGAAGTCTCAGAATTAAGTCCTACTGCATAAACCAAAAGGGTTGGTGCAGATGGGGCTGCTTTGAGGTGTCACACATCACAGAGCACACTTTGAAATGTCAGTGTACCTCTGTTACACAGTGTCTTTTATACCTTTTACATCTACACAATTTTAAGTCATTTTTAGGGAAGGTCAAAATACTCATTAAGATGCTAATTTTTGTTTTTTACAGAAGTGAAAAGCTGAGAGGCGCATTGCATCTATTGATGAAGATTGACTTCAGTCATTGTGTGCCTCAATGCTTAATGATTAGAGTGTATGTGTCAGTCTTTCCTACTTGTCACATTTTTGGTGTTTATTAGTAACATTTGAGATGGTTTCATGCCCCCTGAATTTTAATTTGCTCTGTTATATAATGGGAATTTGGCCTTAATCTCACCTTTCTGCTTTCTAAAATAAGATCGTATTTTTAAATTTACAATGTGCTTCATTAATTACACAAATCCAGTTACTGTTATCCCACTGCATTACTTATTATTCAAACATCAAGTCATGGTTCATTCCCAAAATCAAGTTTTGGGAATTTCAGCAAGTGTTGGCATGCTAATGTGCATTTGGAGTGACTTTAAAATGAGACTGAGCAAGTCACTATACTTGGAGAAAGTGTTGAGGGAGCATCCTTGTAATTGGGACAGGGGTTTTCCAATCATTGTAGGTTTTGCCCTGCTTCCATCACTTAGTAATTATGAAGGATCTTTAGGAAACTGCTTATTACTCTGGTGTGAAAAAAAAAAAAGTGACTAACAGATATACGAACAGGTGAAATAATGAAAGAATTTTAAAATAGGGACAGCACAAAATTGAACACTTTACATTTTATTTATTTATTTATTTATTTAGCCTTTTTCCTTTTTATCGGAACCGGGGATCGAACTCAGGAAAAGCTCCATGATGTCAGCTGTCTTGGAGGCTTTAATACAATGTAATTTTTTTTTTTTTTAAACAAAAGAAGCTGCAGACTTTCCTAGCAGGTAAAGGATTTGTCCAAGGATAAAATAGGGCTATTTGTACCATACAGATCCCTTGATTCACTTATTTTCACAGTACCACCTTCTCGCTGCCTGAGACATACAGTACATTTGAGTAACTGAAAATGTTTTGTGCCATATGATGGATATTTAACATGTTACACTGATTTCAAATTAAATTTTTGCTTTGGGGAACAGATTTGACAATCTAGCGATTCTTGAAACGCTCCAAAATGAAACTTCTCTTTTCCATTTATTTAAAAGTCAGAGATTGAGCACCCTAAGTGCAGAAAAATTTAGGGTGCAGCCATACTAATGACAAAAGCCACAGTGCACCCTTAAGCACTCCTGCTGCCTCTTGCCAGCAGCCTCAGGGTTGGACCCTGAGCGTTCTCTGGTTGCTGGGGCAACTGGTAGGCGTCATCCATGCCATGGCGCTTGCACTTGGCAGCATAGCTGTTTCCGATTGGCTGAGATATCTCCGCAAGGTGGAAGAAGAAATGTCTGCATTGGCTCAGCTAGCGCCGTTAGTGGACTAGAGGAAGCGACTGAAAGCCCAACGGTGCAGCTAGTAAAGGTGGAGGGAATTGGGTAAGAAGTAAGGGGAGGGTGGGACCCCAACCTAGAGCAGCGAGTGACTGTACCAGCAACAATGAGAACAATTTGAAGATTGTCCTGAGGGAGGGGTCGTCCCTCCTGCGCGGTGAGTGGGGAGAGTTGTGCTCCTGTGTGCCTGCGCGCCGTTTGAAGAGGGGTCTCCGGGGAGACACCCTCAAGTCCTTGTGGCGCAGCTGAGAGGCCTCTGGAGCCAGCTTCACTCATGAGTTAGGGACAAGATTAAGCCTGTCTCTCTCTTAGGTGAGTCAGTGCTGATACAGACTCTTCTGAGCAGGTGGGGTTGGGCTGGAGGGATGGATGGTGGGAAAGAGTCACTGACAACGTTTTCGGTGTTGCTTCTAGTTAGATAAAGGAATTATTCTGGCTAAGTGGAACCCTCTCCAGTGCCTCTGGAGGCTCATTCTTAATCTCCTTTGCGAGCATTATTTTTCTGCCTTCCCTAATACCTGCTGTTCTGGCTTACCCTGTGCCTTTCTGCTGCCTGGGTGAGTTCACTCACTTCCCTGCTTTCAGGCACTACCTTTCTGTTGATGACCAGAAAGTGCCCACCTGTAGCCTGACTGCTGCCTTAAGAATCAGATCCCCAAACCGAACTGCCTATTAAGCCCAAATACCATTCTTCCTCACCCCACTAGGCTGTTACTGCCTTTGGATTCCCATTCTTGGACATCACCCTCTATCCATTCAATTCCTAAAACCGTATGGTGGACAGCATCCTCCACGCAGCCTCTTCCTCTCCATCTCCGTCAGTTGTCAAGGCTATCCGGTCGTAATAGATGTTGGATGGTTCCCACACCACTGTCTCCATTCTTACTATTTATCAAATTCTACTAGTTCTTGAGTTAAATTTAGCATGTTTCTGGCTTTAGCATGTATCTAACCCATTTCTCTCACTATTATTAAACCCTGTTTCAAAATTAAAAAGGGATTAGAATGCAGCTCAATGTGAAGGCCCTGGATTCAATCCCCAGAACCAGAGAAAACAGTGTAAATGTGTTTCCTTTCCCTACAGTCTTGCAAATATCTTCCATTACCCTAATCCAGGCATCAGTTAAACATTCCTCTGAAGTTGTTCCCAGAACATGCCTTATTTGCTCCTTTTTTTTTTTTTTTTTTTTCCTTGTCTTTTTGAGACAAGTTCTCGCTATGTAGTTTAGGCTGCTCTTGAGCTCACTTTGTAGCTCAGGCTGGTCTGGAATTTGCAACAATTTTCCTGACTCAGCTTCCCAAGTACTGAGACTGTAAGTGTGTACCACCAGGCATGCCCAGCTTGAGTGGAGTTATTTGACTTATTGCTTACACTGCCTGGAATAGATTCTTTTCTTTTCTTTTTTGCACACACTGTACTCATGACTGTATTATCTGTGTTTTGCCTGCTTTTCTGCTTCTTCCTTAGATGCTCTGTAAAGGCAAGTGCTGTGTTTCTTACCATTATTGTATTGCCAGCATCTGGCTGAGTACCAGGCATGTAGCAAGTGCTAACAAATTTTTACCTGAACTTCTGGTCAGTGACACTTTTGTTTGCAAAAGATGGATATAGAATTTGCAGGTTTTATTTTAATTTCAAGATCTTTGGTAGCTGGAGACTGTTTTGATTTAGTCTATTTTATGCCATAGTAATTTTGATGTTAGCTGTTAATTTATGGTATCTTAGTTACTGTCTCATAGCTGAGACACAATAGACAGTGCCCACAACTATAAAGAGGAAAGGTTTATTTAGCTCACAGATTGCAGAGGTTTCAGTCCATAGTCAGCTGGCTCCAATGCATGGCAGAGGAAGCTTGCTGATGGCATGGCAATAAAGCAGAGTGAGAGCAGGGGAGGAGGGAGACTAATCCATTGATGAGCATCGCTTCCCCATGATCCTGGCACCTTTCCAAAGGTGTTTTGTCCTAGAAACTGCTCTTGACTGAGTCAAAAAAGTCAGTGCACCCATGAGTGTATGAGGCTTTGGCAGGGCATCCAGATATAAACCTTAACATATGGCATGAGTTAGGATTATTGAAAAAAGTGACAGTACATTATGCAAGAAATAGGTTTTGGTAGCTGAGTGTGGTGGTGCAGGCCTGTAATCCCAGTACTCAGAAATGGCATAGTGAGATACTATCTAAAAAAAAAAAAAAAAAGAAAAGAGAAATAGGTTTTGAGGCTGTGCATACAAGGGTTTGAAACCTAGTTCTTTTTTTTTTTTTTTTTTTTTTTTTTACATTAACTTCAGATGAATCCTAGTTCTAACATTTCAGCTCTGTGGCCCTCTAACCATATTTTTAAGTCTGTACAGTGGACTCATAATAAGCCCTGCCTCAGAGAATTGTTTTAAAGATGAAATGTTCATACTCCATACCAGGTACATAGTACTTTAGACCTGTATATCGATTTTCACATTAAATACATCCCTGCTGGCGTGAACCACTGGTGGTACATGATATTTGTCCCTTTGGGTGGTTTGTACCACTTCATGAGACTGTCTCATGCTGCCTGATGGGACAGTCATTCATATACAACCAGTGATTCAGAGATGTCCGGCAGTGAGAAACATGAATTGTGATTCTGTCATGAATGTTAGAAATGACCCTGAAACATTGCTCTCCATGTCAAAGCCAGTTGTACTTTGAGTTTGAAGTTAGAGTTGAGCACTTGGGGTTGGGGATCTAGCTCAGCAGTATAAGCACCTGCCTTGCAAGCAGGCGGTTGTGAGTTCAATCCCCAGTACTGATAAAAAAAAAAAAAAATAGAGTTGAGCACTTGGATAGGCCGAGAGAAACTCAAAGTACATTTAAACATCAGTAAATATTTACTGAGTATGAGTACCTAGGTATTCAGCAGTAAACAGAACAAAGACACAGTTCTGTTATCAGGGACAGTTTAGCTGAGTCTAGAGGACTCAGACTCTCCAATCAGGTTATCTAAGTTCAAATCCTAGCTCCTCCACCACTCAATATAGAATCTCTGTCAAGTTACTTAATCTTTTCATACCTTTGGTTCTCAATTGTAAGAAGTGCTTGTAAACCTTACATGGATTAACACAGGAAACTTCCATAGTACAGTGATATGTGTATAGGAGATATCATACATTTGTATTATGTATTTGTAGTAACTTTATGTATTATTTGTATTATGGTCTATGTGGAGAGACAGATAAGTAAACAGACAGTATTTGAGGCAAGGATGGGCTTGGGAATAAGTCTTATATTTTGGAGAGACTTGATCTTCCAGTAGAACATAACTTTATACTTATATGACTGACATGAATGAAGATTAGGATGAGAAGAAATATAAGCACTGAATAAAATGCATTATTTCTCAGTTAGCAAAATAGTTACTGTGATGTTTTTGTTAGTCATCCCCTTATCTCAGCTAAAATCATAATGAGAATCATGTAGCTCTTATTAAGTCTTATATTGGGTATATTTATAATAGACATGAATCCTAGCTTCAAAGCAGTCAGCAGGTCAAAAGGATAAAAATGATAATTGACTGACTCATATCTAAAAAAAGAGACAGTAAAAATGCTTCTGTAAGAATTAAAATAAAAACTAGAGGTAGAACAGAGAAAGCACAGCAACTATAAAAGCAACTCTGGGCCATCAGGAAAAAGCTGTATTGTATTTAGTGCACTTTGCCAACGATAGGGAATTATTGATTGACTTGAAGGAAATATGTAAAAAGTGTATCTGCTTGTTAAAGTGGCGGATATTTATCTAGAAACTTTGCTCTGTTTGTATAGATTGATGGACGAATACCACTGGTAACAGGAGTTGGTGCAGTATTAGATGGACAGGGACTGCTCTGCTGCTTGGCAGCCGTGTGACCTAACAAGTGACTTAATTCTGTGTGTCATATTTCCCTCAGTGGGTACAGTCGTGCTATCTGCCTTATAATTTGTTAGATGGCCCAGGAAGGCACCATGTAAATATTTGCTCTCATTAGTATTATAGTTTTGAGATCTTGGCCAAGTTACTTGGACTTTTTTTTGCCTCAGTTTCTTCTATAAATTGAAGATATAACACTGCCTACCACAGAGGGTTGTTTTGAGGATTAAGTAAATACACCACGGTGTAATAGGAGAATGCTTTATCTTCACAAAAGTGAAATGACATTGTACTGAAATAATTTTAATTCAAATATTTGTCATCGGGCTGGGGATTTAGCTCAGCAGCATAAGCGCCTGCCTTGCAAGCAGGCAGTCGTGAGTTCGATCCCCGGTACCGATAAAAAGGAAAAAGACCAAAAAAAAAAACCCCAAATATTTGTCATCAGTGTGACAAAGTAAATAGAGAACAAAGATTTAAAATGAGCACAAGGTCTTCAAATTGAAGTAGTAGCATTAAAATTTTGCCCAAATACCACGTTGCCATAATGATATTATTTCTAGCTTTTGTTAAATGAGGGAACTAATAGAGGTCCAAAGACCCAGGTCACTCAGTGGACAGAAGGAACCAGGCCTTCTCTGTCCATTGCTCCTATTGACTATATCCCAAGTGTAGCCAGAAGGACTTCGCACCCTTGACATGTAGCCTCACATTAGTGGAGACTCAAGTATTCGTATAGTAATGTACACATGTATGAGACACTTGACTTAATTTGAATACATTCTTTTGAGGAAGCTTTACTATCCTTTTCAAGACACATGAGTTAGTTACTATTTAATATAAATATATTCTTTGTGACTTCTTTATATTTATAAAGGGATTTTCTCAAACCAACATGCTATAATCACTGGGTATTGCTCAGACGCGATGAAGTTGTCATTTCTTTGATTCTTTTTAGTATCTTTATCCTCCCTGTGTAAATAACGAGCTCCAGTTATATTTGCAACATCCCAGTCACATTTGATGGGGGATTTGCTTATGAATTAATACATTAAGTAATTTTTATTGAATACATCTTTTGATATGAGCCATGAATTATATGCTGCACTCAGGAGATGAACAAAAAGGCTGTCTTCTTGTCTTCTCTGTGCCTGCCTAGTTTACAGTAAACTAGAGAAGGTGATTTATTATCACTGGAATCTGCAAAAGCTACAGGCTAGTGCTTGGTAGACTTGTAATTCTATTCAAAAGGTCTGTTCAAAGAATAGATACTTGGGTTGACCTTAGAAGAATGAGCCCTCCAGCATTTTGGCACCAATCCAGCCCTTGGGTCCTGGAGCATCCAGAAAAAGCAGCTCTGGAGCCAGGATTTAGAATCAAGTACCTATCGGCTGGCTAGGAAGGTAGGAGTACCTGTTTGCATCAATA